TCTTTTTCTTTCTTTCTTCCTTCTTTTCCTTTCCTTTCCTTTCTTTTTTCTTTTTTTTTGTCTTATTCGTAACGCGATGTAGAAATATTCAGGAATTTGTTTAAAATCGTGCCGCCATCATTCTTTCGCGTAAAAATTATTTATTAATATTTAAAATTTTGTGATTATAAATAAATAAATCGCGAGTTTTTAAATAAAATGAATGAATGAATGAATGACTGTGATTATCATTATTATTATGATTACAACGACGACGACGACAACGATGATGATGATGATAATAATAACAGGTTGGATTTTATTTTTTTTTATATTTTTATTCGGTATTTACTTGTATGCCAAAAAATTTATTATTATTATTATTATTATTATTGTTATTAATTATTAATTATTATTATTATTGTGAAAAGAAAAAAATTAAATTTTTTTATTCTTGATTAAATCTTAAGAAGAATCTAATACGAAACTAAAAAATAAAATTGGAAAAAGTAAGAAAATGAATGAGAGGAAGGAGAGAGGGAGGGGGGTGTAGGGAGAACGAAAGGGAATTAAATATAACGTTCTATATAGATTTTTCTCCGGGAAAAAACCAATAATAATAATAATAATAATAATAATAATTTTTAAAAATCATCACTCAATAACGGTTAACTAGTTCGTTATTCCGTTCAAATGATTCAGTCTAAAATTAATTACGAAATAACTTTTTTTTCCTTTTTTTCCTTTTTAATAACGTTTTTTTTTTTTTAAATAGAAAATTATTATTATTATTATCATCATCATTATCATCATCATCGTGTAGAAAAACGTTATATAGATTTAGTAACGATGAAAAGTTTTTTTCCCTTTAAAAAAAAAAAAATCGGGGGAAAGGGAAATAATAATAATTCGAATCGAGGGAAACTGAATGAAAAAAAAACTTTTGAACGATTAAATAGCGAAAAATGATAATAATAATAATGATAATGGTAATCATAATAATTATGGCGGAAAATAAAGAAAATAATAATAATTAATTTTTATCTATTTCTTATCATTAAAAAAAAATTTTTTTTTTATCTTAATTAATTATGTTGTATTGTTAATGTTACAAATTTGATTTCTACAAAACTATAAATAATAATAATAATAATAATAATAATAATAACAACATTTCGATGGTAAAAAAAAAAATTTTTTTGTGAGTGAATTATTAGACTCGAGGGAAACATTTTGGGACTTGGACATTCTCATTTTCTTTACCTTTTTTTTTTTTTAAAAATATTCACGATGGAATTGTAAACTGGAGTTAGATGAACATATATCACCACAACTGGAGAAAATTTTTTTTTTAAAAAAAAAAATCCCTTTTCAATGGTGGGTTTTCCATTTTCTAAATAGAATTTTATGGTCTCGTATTTATGACCTCTTTAAATTTCTCTTTTTTCTTTTTCCCTCCGTAAAACTTTTCTTTTTTTTTTTTTTTTAAATTTATACATATTTAAACCCTTCCTTCATTTTTTTTCTTTTTCTTTCATTAATATAAATAAACTTATTATTATTATTATTAATATAAAAAATCATTTAAATGTTAAGTTTATTATATTTTTAACAAAATCTACCTTATAAATTAAGGTTTCTTTTTTAAGGCCCTAAAATCTCTATTTACGATCATATGGTTAAACCATTTTTTTTTCTTCTTCTTCTTCTTCTTCCGGTTACAACAACAACAAGTTTTATTATTGTTTTTTGTTTTTGTTTGTTTTCTTTTTTATTAATGATCCTTTTTTATGTGTTTGATAACAAATCTAGGCATCGTAAAATATATAAAGAGATAGAGGGATGAAAATTTATAAAAATTCTTATTAACCAACCAAACTTTCTTCCCTCATCCCTTATATATATTACGAACCGGAAATGAAATTGAAAAAAAAAATAAAGCGAAAAAAAAAGAGAAAGGGAGAGAGGGGGAGGCAATCGTTGCGTGTAAAAGATTTTCAATAAAAAAAAAAAAATTAATAATCGGATTAACTCATCATTTGAAGTTTTCGTGTTTGTAATTACGTTTTACTAGGTACCCCCAGTTTTATTTTCCACATAATAAATAAATAAATGTAAATAATAATGATGATGATAATGATGATAATAATGAAAATATGAATGTATAAATATATAAAAACAAGTCTCTCGTGAAAGGTCAATGAATTCATTTCAATTTAAATTTCAAATTCGATCGCATGATGAATATTATTAAATTAATTTCTTTTTTCTTATCATTATCATCATTATTATTATTATTAATAATTTTTTTTTTATATATATGAATCACAACAATAAATTTAGTTTATTTATCAACCGCATAAATAGAAAAATTATAACGACGATCGCGTTTGGAATTAAATTGAATATTGACAAAAAATTTTTTTTTTTTTTTAAATTTTCATATTAAAAAAAAAAAAAAATGATGGGATGATTGTAAGGGTTGAAAGCTATAAATGAACCCCTTAGGTTTGTAAAAAAACCATAAACATATTTCGCATGTCTGAGTCCATCCTCGGGGTCTTTCAATAACATCTTATTTAACTTTAATTTCGCTGGGGAAAATTCTATGGATGGACTTGTAAATATATATATATATACAATTTATACTTCTGGACTTCCTTTTTTAAAAAAAAAAAAAAAACTTTCAACTTTTTATCCGACATTTTTTATTATTTTTAAAAAATGAATCAAAGGGTTGAATTTGAAAGAAACTCTCTTTCTCTTTCTCTCTCTCTTTCTCCCCCCAAACAAAATTAAATGTTTATATAAATTTTTTTTTTTTTTTTGTTCCAGGTGGTAATTCCATCGACAAAGATATCATACGACTTTCACCGTCTGAAGGTAAAAAAAAAAATTTTTTTCTTTCTTTCTTTCTTTTTTATTTTTCCATAAATTTTTTTTTATTTGCATATTTTCAAGTGAAAATTGATTTTATTTGTCCCGGACGGAGAGAGCTTTTACGGGTAAAAAAAAAAAAAAAAAACTAAGGGTGAGAATCAAAAAAGCATAAAATTGAGAAATTATGTAGGTTCTGAGTTCATTGAGTATTCATAGCTGGACTACTTCTCACGTTTTCAAAATTCACAAACTGGAAAAGTTATGTTAAAGTGTAATGGACTTCTTAGTCACCTCCATCTTTCAATTTTACACTCTCCCCCTCCCCCTTTGCATTCTCCCCGGATTTTTTTCACCATCCTATAAAAATTTTTTAAATTAAAAACGACGAGAAAATTTTTTTTTTTTTAAATACACGTGGGGAATGTAAATAACAATATTATTTGCAACCACGTGGTAAATAATTAAAAAAAAAAATTATACATAAAAAGAAAATTTATACAAAAGCTCAAAATAGGCGAATCGTCCTTTTTCCTCTTCCCTTCCCCCCCTCCCCAGACGCATTCGATTCGAAAAAAAAGAAAAAAAAACCGTTTGGGAAAACGTGTCGGTTCAAACGTCGTCCGCTTTAATAATAAAAAAAAAATTTTTTTTATTTTTATTAATTCCGTTTATGTAAATTTTTTTTTTTTGAAAAAGTAAATAAATAATTATATATTTACATTAGATTTAATTATTATCATTATCATTATCATTATTATTATTATTCATTTTTAGTTTTCTTTTTAATTCGTTTTAATAAAACATGACTCGGGATTTTTTTGAAAAATTAATATTTATGAACGGAAAAAAACTAAAAATTATCATTATTATCATTTACAAATTTAAGGTTTTAATATTATTATTATTAATAAAAAAATAAAACGAATGCGAACAAAAAAAAAAAAATAAAGAAACATGCGGGACGAATTTAATTATAATTAAAATAAAAAAAAAAAAAAAAAACCCACATAAAAACACATGTTGTGACGTAATCATTTATTTATTTATTTAAACTTATTAATTTATTAACTTATTAAAAAAATTTTAATTTTTTAATAATATCGAGAAAAAAAATTCGTTTTTTTGCAATTTTTTATTATAAATTAATAATAAATTTACCCCTTTTTCATGGGTTATATAATAAATCGATTTAGATCGATCAGATCGATCAATCAATCAATCAATGACCAATAACAAACGCAACAAACAACAACAACAACAACGACAAAAAAATTGATCATTTACAATTAATAAAATAATACTAATAGATAAATCATTTAATATTAATAATTACGTGAGGGAGTTTTTGACAACCAGTCACGAGTCACAAAAAAAAAACAACGAAATAGGGGATGACATTTTTTTTTTCTCCAGCACCAAATGTTATTTTTTATATATATTTGCGATATAAAACATGATTTTTTTTTTTGCGAACAAAAAACAACGGGAAACAATTTAAAAAACTATTTACTACTACTATTATTATTATTATTATTATTATTATAGTTAAACTGAATTGATTCGAAGCCAAAAAAGGTTTAACTTTAAAACATAAAACATTTCCTGGTTAAATTATATAATAAAATTTATTTTTATTATTTTTTAAATAAGTTTCTTCTCCAGTCGTTTTTTTTTTTTTTTGAAATTTATTAATTTTTATTACTTTAATAATAAATTTATTTTTCTTTTTTTTTTTCTAGAAAAAATAGGAAACGGAGATGCAAGAAGCGAAGATGAAGAAAAAAGTTTATTAAGCGATAGAGGAGATTTGATACAAGATCCAGATGATGAAAGGCATTCAGTTAATTCTGATAGAGTCGGAGCATTGAATTTGGTAATAATAATAATAATAATATAAATTAAATTATTTTAAAATTGAGTTGGGAGAAAAACTACTACATAAAATCTAAGGGGAAAGAAAAAGAAAAACAAAACAAAACAAAAAACACCCCCTCTGTCACGGTTTGAGAAAGTGTGTGATAAAAGGGTGACAAAAACATTCTTTCCAGTCATTTTGAAAAAAAGAGAGAAAGATAGAGAGAGAGAAGGAGGAGGAGGGGGAGGAAACTACATTGGCAATTCCAGCTTTTACTCAGAAAGCAATGAAATCTAAATCGCATTTATCAACCTATTTTAAGTAAAGATTTTTCTGAGGGGATGCAAAAAGCAACAACAACCCTTAAACAATATAAAAAAAAATTTTCTTTTTCTTTTCTTTCCTTTTTTCCTTTTCTTTCGGGGGTTTGTTTTTATAAAAAATTTTAAAATTTTTTAAAGGTAACTGATTTAAATGCGAGAAATTCTGGAGAATCGGGAACAAGCGGTTTAACATTATCATCTCCCGGCTCTGTTGTTGGCAGTCAAATCACTTCAAATGGAAGTTCAACAACAGCAGCAGCAGCAGCTGCTGCTTCCGTTCAGGCTACTCTGGCAGCTTTGCAAGCAAATCAATTAAGTTTAAACCAGTTAATGAATTTGAATGCGGCACAAGGTAACAAAAAAAAAACAAATTTTTTTTTATTACTTTTTTTTATTCTTTATTAAAATAATAATTTTGTATTATTTATCTTATCAGAGCAACAACTGTTTTTACAAAACCAAATAGCAGCGGCAGCAGCAGCAGGTCAAATTCCATCCTTGCCAAATTTATCCAATTTGGGATCTCAAGAACTTCAAGCACTACAGCAAACATTACAACAAAATTTAACGCAATTGCAACAATTTGTTTTGTTTCAACCCGGAGCCGGAAATCAACTCCATCCACAAGCTCAGTTTTTTTTACAAAATCAGGTACATATAATTTACAAGTAAAATAATTAAATATATATTTTTTTTCTTAAGAATAATTAAATTTAAAAAAAAAACAACAAATTGCCCATTAAAAGTTTTTTTTTTTTCATTATATTTATAAAAAAAAACAACAAGGTAATAGTAAAAGTATTATTATTATTTTCACTCATAATCACGACAATTCGTCTTAATATTTGTCGGAGCTTTTTCGACATTTATTCCAGGTTTCTACCCGATCCCTAAGGAATAAATGCCTGAATATCAGCGATTTTGCATGCCTGATGGATAGGTTTCGTCTTGTTATAATTTATTAGACCACAACTATTCTTGTAAATCTCACTGAAATCATCTTTGATTTATATTTTGATTTATGACCATATTTGATGGAAATCAATTAATTCTTATACCGGGCTCCAGTGACTGATATCTACATAGTGGCCGGGAACAGAAGAAGTGAGACCTTGTCGAGCTTTCGAACTTTTAATACTAAATTTTTTTACTATTTCCCAATTTCGTAATTTTCCCTCATGCATTTCATCCTTAATTTATGCACACAATGTACAAATTATAATTTTGTACCTATAAACTTAAGTAATCTTAAAGCAGTTATAAATTTTTCTAATCTTAAAATTTTACACTAAAAATATGGTAAAATACGTTAAGATGTATCAGAAAAACATAAGAATGAAGAGGTTTAGTTTTTATACTTTAAATTAACCAATCACGAGTGAAAATGGAGGTGTGATTTTTATACCTTAAATTAGCCAATCACAAGTATTTTTGATATTTTTAATCGCAAAATACGCTAAAATGTATCAACCAATCACGAGTATTTTTGATATTTTTAATCGCAAAATACGCTAAAATGTATCAACCAATCACAAGTGAAGGTGTAAAACAAGATACAAAATTTTAATTTTTCACAACAATTTTTAATAATAAAATACGTTAAGGTGTATCAGAAAAACATAAGAAAAAGGAGGTTTAAAATAAAATACAAAAAACTGAGCAATTTTGATGCAAAAATTTGTTAAGATGTATCAGAAAAACATAAGAATGAAGAGGTTTAGTTTTTTTTTTTTTTCAAATCACGAGTGAAAATGGAGGTGTGGTTTTTATAATTTAAATTAGCCAATCAGGAGTATTTTTGATTCTTTTAATCGCGAAATACACTAAAATGTATCAACCAATCACGAGTATTTTTGATACTTTTAGTCGCAAAATACGCTAAAATGTATCAACCAATCATAAAAAAAAGAAGGTAAAGAGTAAAATAAAATTCAAACAATGGATTCCCACTTAAAATCAAGTGTACGGAGATTTTATATTTACATGATACCTTAAATTATTTAAATACGAGAATTTTTAATACATTTAATGGCAAAATGACAAGACGTAAACGCATGCCAACTTATTGAATTAATTTTACCCGTTGTTTATCATTATTATTATTATTATTTTACTTAAAAATATGTCTAAAAGTCAAGCATTGATAAATAATTAGTAATGGATAATTTGTGACGAAATTTTATTGAGATTTTTTTCTTTATTTTATTGTAAATTCAATGTCATTTTTTTTTTTTTTTTTTTTTTTTTTATACACTTACCTTGCAATTCTAAATTCATGAGTGTTCGCTGATATGTAAATTTTAAAAAAAATTTTAATTTTGTTTTAGGATAATTTTTAGTATCCGATAATTTTACAAATAAAGAAAACTATGAATAAATTTTATTTATTTTTTTTTTTTTTGCAAACATAGGTTCAACAAGCAATTGCACAACAGTTACAACAACTTCAGAAACACCAACAACAGCAACAACAACAGCAGCAGCAGCAACAGCAAGATCATGCATCTTTAGGTAGTCCTCATAGCAATCCACCAACACCTCAAAGTAATTCTCACTTATCGCACTGCCATCCTCAAACTCAAACTTCCCTTCATTCGTCTTCTTCATCGTCAAATAACAACTTATTGAATTTGGCTCCGATCGGTTCGTCTGTAGGAAACAGTAGCATCAAAACTCCGCAGCCTCCTCGCGTTTTAGAATCTGCGATAGAGGAGACTACAGATTTGGAAGAATTAGAACAATTTGCTAAAACTTTTAAGCAAAGAAGAATAAAATTGGGTTTTACACAGGGCGACGTCGGCTTGGCCATGGGAAAGCTTTACGGAAATGATTTTTCACAGACAACAATCTCCAGGTTCGAAGCGTTAAATTTGTCATTTAAAAATATGTGCAAGTTAAAACCTTTGCTTCAAAAATGGCTCGAAGATGCCGACAGTTCATTGACCAATCCAAATTCTTTAACGAATCCTTTAACCACGCCCGAGGCCATAGGACGTCGCAGAAAAAAACGAACGAGTATCGAGACCACGGTTCGCGTGGCATTAGAAAAAGCTTTTTTGCAAAATCCAAAACCGACTTCGGAAGAAATAGCCGTTTTAGCTGATAATTTAACGATGGAAAAGGAAGTTGTCAGAGTTTGGTTTTGCAATAGAAGGCAAAAAGAGAAAAGAATAAATCCGCCTACGTCGGCTTTGGGTAGTCCGACAGGCGGAAGTCCAAACATGTTTTCATTAGGAAATCTACCAATTAGCTTAGTTAACACCACGCATTCCTTCGGAGCCAACAATCAGGGGAATGGAAAAAACGAATGACAACAATGGATGCACTCTGTAGATTCTGCAGAGTCGCCTAAAAATTGGGAAAGCGAATCTCCCAACAAAAATTGGAATAACAACGTGTCGGAGTCGTCGGATTCGGAATCGTTCAAACCTTGGGAAAACGCATCCTCGACACCTCCGAGACCGTGGACTAAAAGGCCGGACACTCCTCAACAAAAAACTTGGATAAAAATTCCTTCGATCATCGATTTGAATTCGTCACGTAAATGGGAAATGCCGAAGAAATCATGTTCGCCCGAGGTATTGACACATTCGTGGTCTCCACAAAAACTTCCTGAAACGCAAAAATCATGGTTAAACATTCCGCATCCGGATTCTCCGAAACAATTATGGACGTCAAAGGTAGAAAATTCCAAAAACTGGGTTCCTATTAATTTACCAAAGTTAAACAATTGTCACAAAACGTGGATGTACAATGTTAAAAAACAAGAAAACGAAACCAAACAAGATTGGAAACTTCAAAAAAACCCAGAATCTCAACCCTGGATTGAAAATTTTGTCAACGGTTCCAAAAATTGGAATTCGCCTAATCAGAAAAGATCCAATTCTCCCGGTTGGAACGTTTTCAATCAAAAAACAATAGAACCGATAAAAACCGAAATTGATTTATCTCCAAACGCGGATAAAGCTTCTACCACCACCACCACCACCGCTACTATTCCTACTACTACTACAACAACCACGTGGAAAAAATCGGAAACGGCAACAAATCCAAACGATCATTTGGAAATGAATTACAATTGGAAAACTGAAAAGAAAATGGGCGAAGAATTAATAAAAACTCTCAACGTGGAACATTCATCAACGGCATATTCAATGGAATCATCATCTCAAAATTGGTTGATATCTCCAAAAAATTTTATCGATAACAAACAAACCTGGACGGAAGGTCAAGAATCAATAAGAGAAACAATTACCACCATCACCACCATCACCACCACCAACACCACTACCACTACCACGTCTACCACTTCGGCAACGACCAACACAACTTGTTCAAACACTTACTCAATTGTTAAAACTCCAGTTTGGCCAAAATAAATAGAAAGGAATTCGCTTTATTTTTTAGTATAGGCGACTAATTGATAAATTTGTGCGTGTGTATATAAACAGTAGTAGATAACACATATCTCGAATAAAATTTCTTCTTATTTTTTTTTTTTGTATATAGTAGGTACAACAACAACAAACAAACAAACAAACAAACACACATTGAAAAATTTCTATATATAATAAAAATATAATTATTATTATTTAATAGGTGAATGTTTTAGTTAAATTTGGTTATGATAGGTAGTCGATAGGGGTTGCATTATGTTAACATGACAACAAATATTATTTAGAGAACCCTCATGATAACAAAAAAATTTTTTTTTGTAACGAAATTTAAAAATTTTTTCGTACGTAAAAAAAAAAAAAAAAAAAAATTAAAATCTTTAAATAATATTTTAAAACATAAATAAATAATATTTCGTTAATAAATCAAAATTTTTCGGTATACATAAAAAGACATTTCATCGTTTTTTTTTTTCGCACATGAAAAATTTTTAAATTTCATTAAAATTTTAATTATTATTATTATTATTGATTTTCGTATTAATTAATTTGATTTTAACAGTAAAAAAAAAAAAAAAGAAAATTAAATAAATAATATCTAAAAAAAATTCCTCCCCCCCTCTTCCCCTGTCTTCCACTTGTAGTTCCTATTTTCATTCAAATATACAAAAAATTTAATTAATAATAATAATAATAATAATAAGTATGAATAAAAAATGTCGTTTTTATTTAGTGTAATCTATGTTTGTGTATTTTTTGAATGTGAAAAAAAAAACAAAAAAAAATTACTGTAAAATGATTAAAAAATAATTTTCATTTAAAAAAAAATAATAATAATAATATTTTGTTTTTTTTTCTGTCTCTCTCTCTCTCTCTCTCTCTCTCTCTCTCTCTCTCTCTCTTTCTATTTTTTTTCTGATAACCTTCGGTAATCAATCATAAAATTTTTACGAAAAAAAAAAAAATAATAATAAATGAATTATTATTTACCCATCATTTAATATTTTTTTCCTTTATAATAATTTTATTATTATTATTATTGAAACCGTAACTAACTGAACAATTTATAACTGTTTAACATATAAATATAAATAAAACAAATGATAATCCCAATGAAAACTTTTTAATTATCTCATAATATACAAGAACAGAAAAATTCCCCCCCCACCCCTTCTCCCTTCTCCTGGGGGGACAATTTAAATTTAAATATGAAAAGTCAGACATTATTATCATTATCAAATTCCTGTTATTTTTATGTATGTGACGTCATTTTAATGTTAGTTTTATAAGTTTATATATATAATTGCAATGTGTAATTTTTTTTTTTTTTTTTAATAATTACAATTGATTATTAAATACATAAACAAATTCAGTAGTTATTTAATTAATGATATTTTTCTTAGTATAAAATCTAATTATTAAATAACGACAAACATATATACATAAAAAAGGCATTATTAATAATTTGTCAAAAATTTATTTTGTAATTTCTGATTAGATTCGTAAAGAACAACTATTTGAAAATTTCAATTTGAATTCATTTAGGAAGTAATCGAAATGTTTGTAAACATTTGTATGTATATGTTAATTTAAATGTTTTTGTGAAAATTTAATTATAAGTCGACAAAAATTGTTGTACAGTAAGTATACTACTTAATAATCATTGATAAAATGATAAAAAAAAAACAAAATTGAATACAACCTTTTAAATATTACAATAAAAATAATTTTATTATAACCTTTTACTAATTAGCTATTCTATACTGCATCATAATGACTTTTCATGTAAATATAATACTATTTTTAAAAAAATAAAATTTATGGGTAGTATATGTAGAAGTTTATGCTGTGAAGTCGACAAGAGTCAGCTTTCCATCATGCATATTTATTTATATGCACACAACTAATCATTAACAAGTACTTTTTACGATTTGCACTTGCAAATATTATAATTTTTTAAAAATTATATTATAATGATTATTACATATCTTAACCTGAGCTTATAGTAATTTACATATACATACAACTCTACAAACCATTTATATATATGTAGACTAAAAAAATTTTTTTTACAAAAATAAAATACCTAAAACTTTGTTTTATTCGGTTTGAATATTACTTGATTCATATGATGAGAGTGTCTACATGGAAACCTGAAATTAAAAATTTTTTCATTATTAATATTTATTCATGAGGCAAAAACAATTTATCGATTTAGGTTTTTTTTTAAATTTAAATAATTCAAAGTATAAATCGATTTCATAAATTTTTTGTTTATTTAAAATTAAATTAATTTTTTATATACTTTTGTTTTAGTTAATCAATTTTTAAATTTGTCTTAAATCAGAATAAAAACAATGTACAACTTTAAGATAAGTATTTGTAAATTGTGTATTAAGGAAATCAAAAATCTTACCAATAGAGAAAAACACAGGCCCAAATAGATCCGAAACAAACATGGGAACTAAAAGCGGGTTTACTAGTATATAAAAAAGTACCTAATCCTATTGTTATTCCACCACAAATTCCAAAAATTAACGATTTACGAAAACATGGAATCTGTGTTACATCTCTTCCCATAAACATAATTGGCTATAACGAATGTAATAAAACAAAAAAAATTTTTTTTTTTAACTTTTAAATTATTTAAGAAAAAATATCAACGTACCTTATGTTTGCTTTCAATCGTAGATTCTTCTAAATTTTCATTCATGTTCAATAAATGTATTTTCTTTGAAAATTTTTTATATACCTTAATAACGTGGAATTAGATAAATAAAAAGAAAGATGGCGCCGTCACCCGTTAGCGGTATTTTTCACAAGTTCGTTTTTTTACCGGTTTTTCGATGTGATTTTAATTTTTATAAATTTAATTCGTTATTTTTTTTTGTGTTTGATTACGAGGTAAGTTTTATGTTAAAACTTTTAATTGATGTCGATTGTAAAAATTTAAAACTTCATTGTCTACAGTCATATTTATAAACCATTGATTTAGGTTATGTAATTTAGATGATATCTCTTATGGTGTAAAATTTGAAACCTTGATTTTTTTTAATCCACTCATATTATTATTATTATTATTATTATTAACTTTAATGATATTTCAAGGAATAAATAATTAATAAAAAAAACTTTTTATTATAAAAATTACTTTTATATTGAAAACACTGCATTGCAATGATAAATTAAAAGGTCTTTGGCTTTGAAAATAATTAATTGTCTTAAATATTTTAAAACAGATTATTATAAGTACAAATATTGACTAAAATTTAAATTATTAATAATAATAATAATATTTACATTAAAACAAAAAAAAAAGCTTCAACCTCATCTGATATTTTTTTTTTACATTTCATCAGTTCTTGCTCTAAAACAAAAAAAAAAAATTATTACTATACATTTGTTATTAACGATATAAATATTAATAATAATAATATTTAATTGGCACTGTAAAATAGTTTATGGCTTATGAGTAATAAATGAGTTTATAAAAAAAAATTTTTTTTTTTTTTTAGAGCAGAAAATAAATATCAGATAAGAGCATTAACAAAAAAAAAAAAAAAATTATTTTATCCTAATATGAGCATATTACATAAACATACAAAAAAAAAAAAGCAATATCAAGTTTTAGTCGAGTAATTTAAATTTCAATTCACAAATTATTTTTTTTTCTTTATCTTTTGCCACATTTAGTTATAATTATTTTATTTTTTTATGGCACTGAGAATTTTACATTAAAAAAAAAAAAAAAAAATGGAAACACATAATGAGAGAATGCAAGAAATACCAAAAAAAAAAAACATTATACAAAGCCTTTCGTCGCCTTTATGATGCCTTTTTTAAAGCTGCCATTGTCAAACATATTCTTCGTTGGGTTTTGGTGATTGATTAGGTAACCTTAACGTTTGTACGCGACCATTCACTGCATCGGGCAACTCAGCAATGTCTTTAAAAACACCAACGAGGCTTTCAAAATTAGGACCCCAATTAAGTAAATAATTCCAACCGAGAGGTGCCGTTGAAGATGGTGATCCATTTGGAGCACGGTATAATAATCCGCCCATGTGCGTGGAAAGATCGTCGTCCGATGCCACCAACGTGCTCAAAGAACCTCGAAAGGAAGAATCGAAACCGTCGTACGATGGTGGAGGCAAAGGTGGTTTGCTTGCATTACCAGAATTGTTTGATCTCGACCTGTCGTCTTCGTCTTCTGTCAATTTGCTAAACAATATGTCACTTCGTTTGTCTCCGCTTATTGAATTATTATCGTATTCTATTTCGGAACAAGTGAAAGAATCATTTCCGCTTTCGTCCGTCGTTGTCGATGAATTATTATCTGGTATGTCGTTTGCGTTATTCAAGTGATGATTTTGACGTGTTATCGGAGGTTCACTGGAAGAACTGACGGCATCGAGCGTTGACACGAGGCTACTGGTCCGAGGATGACAATTTAACCTGTCTATTTCTTCTGCTGTCAAACCCAAAGGAGCACTTTTATTTCCCGCATTACTACCATTTTGCTGTTGATTTTTACGACTAGTTGTAGAACTTTGTCCGCTTATTTGACTCATAACGGGACTGTTTAAACTTCTCTCACTGTTACTGTGCAAAATGTCTTTTCCAACACCTCCGGATGAGGAAGTAGTCGCTAATAGAGCACTTTGCAAGGGCTTACCGCTTATGTCGCTCAAAGTGAGAATTCGCGGTTGCTGACTTGATAATTCGCTACTGGGACTTAGTCTTGCAAGAGGAGTACTTTGGTGAGACAAAAGTTTGCTAGTGTTCTGAGAAGTCAGATTATTCACCACGTTCGGAGATGAGTCTACTCGAGAAACGGGAGGCGGTGGTATTGCTGATCGAGAACTGTCTCTGGATGGAGGTAGAAAACCAGCCGTTAAGTGAGGACTGTGTCGGTGTTGTTGTTGCGAAGCGGCATGCTTGTGATGATAACCTCCTGACGAGGGAATGTGCGGTGGAGTAGCTTTGTATTTTCGCATTCCTCCGTCACGATAACCTTTGTAATGATACACTATGTCTATGTCACTGGGCGCTATCGAGCTAGCATTCTCTAAATCATAATGTTCTGGAATTTCACTGTTGTCATGGTGATGAGAATTTTGCGAAACCTGAGCGGAAGAAATAGAAGGATGTTCCTCTCGTAAGAGAGGAGATTTTCCGACCACTTCGCGTTCGATTATATCTGGCCTCGAATGCCTTTGCGCATCCGAACTAATAATTTCTTTTTCTTTGTACTTTTTTGAAATCAGTTCTGGAGCCATCAAATGATGGCTTCGGAGTGCGTCCGCAGTTTCCGACAAGTAACCTACGTTAGCCTCGCCGTGAACTCCGCGACTCAACACTCCTTCACCGGTAGTGCCAACCATGCCTTCTCCTCCGGCTACTAGTGTTGTACTCCCATTTTGCTTCGATATTCCTAAACTTCCTCTCCCTCCCGGAACTTCTCCTTTTTCTTTCTTTTGTCGTCTGAGATGAAAAACTATAAAACTGACTAATATCGCAACGAGGAGAGTAACGAAAAACACAATCACTAAAGTAACACCTATACTGAGAGGATCGGGAGCAGTGTTTGCTCCAACTCCGATGGGTCCAGCACAGCCTTTAACTATCTTGCCGTAAATAATCGTTTCTGAAAAAATACTTCCTGATCCGTTAAACGATTGGATTTCATTATTCACCGTAAAATTTGCAATACATCCTTCGAATCCTGTAACCCAAAAAAAATCGCAAATTTTACTTTTTATAGCCTTTTTTGATAACTTGTTATTATTATTTAAAAAAAAAAAAAATATCGCACCTATCGGGGCAGGATCAGATGCCGCAAAAGTTTTCTTTTTAGTTCCTCCGATGGACAGCGTCGTCAGGTACGGATCTAAAAAGTCGTGAACTCCGGCCGAATCAAGTTCTTCTCCAACCTTTTTACCATCTAGTAATAATTTAAGGCCTCTGTTATGAGAATGTAGAGTTAAATTATGCCACTGACCATCGTTTACGAGTAATTCTGTCACGGTCATGTTGACAAATGAACCGGAAGTTCCAAGACGAGAAATGTATAATATTTTACCGTTTTTGATCTGTATTAAAGTCATAATTAAAATTAGTACATGTATATCCTTAGCTTAAAATTGATAATTTTTCTCATCTGAATTCTAATAGACCCACTCACCTCAATGGATGTAAAATCTTCATTGGTAGCCGAATACAAAACGAGGCCCTCACTTTTGACAGTGCGAAAAACGACGCTCAAACTTTTAAACGGTCCAGAAACTGAGTTTCCGATCGAACCTGAACTCAAATTTCCCTCGGCGTATCTTTTATATTTTTGATTTTCATTTTTCCAAAGGGTTGATCCGTGATATAGATTGTCCAATAATTGCATTCTCGAGTGTTTTTCGGATATTTTAAATTCAACGAAACTACCATCGGATAATGTGATGGGCTCTAAGACATCGTGACAGTTGGCTGCAACCAATCCGGAGCAAACGCACAAGTGAGATTGCCACCGATCGAGACATTGACCTTCTCCACAAGGATTAATAATTTCTACGACTTCGTTCGTTTGACTGCTTCCAGCACACGGCGAATGAGATCTTCCGCAAACGGGATCGACATTTTGACTTTTAATCGGGTTGCTCAAATTTAATGCGCGACCGTTAATGGAAATCGAGTGAACGCAACCCACGAGATCGTCGGAATGAATTTGTCCAGGTCGCTCCAGTACCGGATCGGTAGATGTTAAACCGCCGACGAGCATCGGATGATTATTGAAATTTAAAGTTCTAAAAATAAAATAATAATTTATGTTTTCCATTAAAAATTTAATTAATTTTATTTATTTTTCGATGATAACGAAACAACATCAATAATTTTTTTATCTATTTTATTCTAATTTTAAATTAAAATTTATAAATTAAGTTATTTCCATTTAAAATAATAATAATAATTCAGGTGTGTGTGTGTGTGCAACTTACCCGGTGGGACCGATGTCATCTGCATAACATGTAGCATCTCCGGTTTTACATTCTTGACAAGCATCTCCATTATCGTTGCAGGTAGCCACGCTCAACGAAACAACTCTTCCATTTCTTGTTGCAGTTATCTTATGCCACGCACCATTGGCCAAGGTAGCGTTGTCGCGTGGTACCATCACAGATGTTATTGCCGATCTCGCTCCTCCGTAAGAAAAAACAGCCTTACCGTTGATGAGTTCGACAGCAACAAAATCCGATCTTCCTCCGGTTTGTATTCCATAATTGTAAATTAGCAAAGCGTTCGGTTTCACGGTTGCAAAAATAATTGAAATGTCATTTGTGGTCACATCCAAAGATGAAAACGTCATGTACGATAACTCGTTGAATCCGAAAGTTGATTTTTCACAATGGCGCCCGTGTCTGGCTTTCGGACAACTGCAACGATAACCGGGTTTCAGCGAGACGCAAATACCGCCATTGAAACACGGATTCGGTCGGCAAGAATCCGATGTTGTTTCGCAATGATTTCCCCGGTAACCTGGTCGGCACAAACAGAAAAAGCTCGAACCGTCAGGGCTTTGACGACAGGATCCACCGTTTCGACATGGATTTCCGTCGCAAGCGTTTTCTTTTTCGTGCTCGCAAAGCTTTCCCTCTCTGGAAACGGGACACAAACACTGAAAGTCGTGTCCTTGACGTCTGCATGTGCCTCCAGCTCTGCACGGATTGGGTAAACATGGATCGTGTTGACGATCGCATCTTTTTCCGGTGAATCCATCCGGACAGCGACAGAAATAATCGTGAGACACGACCGGACTAGAAAAAATTAATATTTGACTGTCAATTATTCTCGAACCGTCGAGAACGGAAATTCCATCGTTACAAGTTCCGGAATTTTCACACGTGAATTTTTGACAGGGTTTGTAACCGATGATGGCCGTCGCTCCGATTTTTCTTTGAATCGAGTCTCGTTTTTTCATTATATTTTCAATCGAATTATCCTTTAGGTAGTAGCCTTTCGAATTTTTTATTGCCATTGTAAGTTCCAAGCCAGAATCGACTTCGTTGACGCTGAACAAATGTACGTAATCCGTTGACTGAAACGCTGATTTTATGGATTCTACGAATGTATCGTAGTAGTGCGTAAAAAATTTACCGGAAGTCATTTCTTCCAACCTAATTGTAAAACTATTATCGACCGTTGTATTTGTGAATGGGAAAAATTCAACGGATACCGTCGACATAACGTCCGAATGTTTTCCATCGTTTCCGGTAACGTTAAAGTGATATTTAACGTTGGGTGTAAATTTTCCAACTGTCAATTCGCAACCGTTTTTTATAAAAAAATTTGTTTTCGTACCAGGATTATTAATTATTTTGCAATGATAATCCCCGGTCGTGTCAGCATCATTCGGATGAACGTCGGCTATCTTACCCAAGGGCAATTCATCGTTGAAATAATGAACTAAAACTTGAACCGTCCTCGGTGTTGATGGACTATCATTTTGATCTAAAACAATTATTGAAACAGAGTGCTGAGATTTTAATTTCGGCACGCCATTGTCTTCGACGCTGATCATTATTTCTAACTGAGGATTAACTTCTCGGTCAATGACTTTTCTCGTTTTAATAACACCCGTCGTTTTTTCAACGAAAACAAAATCTTTATCTTTGCCCCCTGTTAAAAAGTAATTAAAAGGAGCACCGTTTGGTGGAAGGTCCGGATCCGTGGCGGTCAACGTTAAAACGCTCGTGTTCGGCGGTTCATTTTCAGTAACGTAACCGATAATATTTGGAGGATCGAAAAAGGGTTCGTTGTCGTTGACGTCTTCTAAAATTATTTTGACTGTTGCGGTACCAGTTTGAGGTGGCACACCCGTGTCTATCGCTCCGATAATTAACGTGTACGCAGGTATTTTTTCACGATCCAATTCGGCCGCCGTTTCGATGGCACCCGTTTGTGGATCAATTTTAAAGGCTTTTTCAGAATTTCCGTTAATGATAGAGTAAGAAAACTGATTGTTAAGTGGCCGAACGTCTTTGTCGATAGCTTTGACCGTGGTTATTATTTTTCCGGGTCTAACATCCTCGGGAACTCTCGTTTCGTATTCTTGTTGCAAAAATTCAGGAGGATCGTTTCCATCTTGAATAGAAATCACTACCTGAGCTTCATCCGTATCGTTACCTCTTATTCCTCCGGCATTTTTTGCCACAACTGTTAATACGACTCGATTTTGAGTTTCCCGATCCAAACGACGAGATACTAAAATGGTTCCCGTTTCAGAACCTATACTAAATCCTTTATCGTTACTAGAGCCGACAAACAAGTAATAAACTTTTCCATCGTCTCCTGCGTCTTCGTCGGTTGCCTGAATCGTTCCAACGCTTGTCCCGACTTCACTGCTTTCAGATATTTCGAAATGAAATACCGGCGTCACAAATTTAGGATAAAATTCATTTACTCCAGTGACGTAAACGATGACTTTGGTCGAGCCGAACATGGGAGAATCTGGATTTGCAGCTAAAATTTCTAACGAATATTCATCCTTTTCTTCGTAGTCCAACCTTGATTTCGAGAAAATGGTTCCAGTTTTAGAATCAATGGTAAAAACATCCTTTCCTGTCCCACGTATTATTGAGTAATGTATGATCGCATTTTTAGGAGAATCTATATCGTGGGCTTGAACTTGGAAAATGAATGTTTTAGGAGGAGAGTTTTCAGGTATGTAAGCCTTATAAACGCTTTGATTAAACGTCGGAGGATTATCATTGACGTCCGTTAGGGATATTGTCACCATCGCGGTCGCTTGGTGCGGTTCAAATCCTAAATCCGTTGCCGTTACATTTAAATGATAGTTGCTGACGGTGTCGTAATCCAATGGTTTGAGAATTTTCAAAGCTCCCGTAGTCGAGTTAAGGTGAAATTTAGAGTCTTCATTTCCGCTTGATATTTTATATTCGACCATTCCGTTCGGACCGTCGTCGTCATCCGTTGCCTTAATGGTTAAAATTGTGGAACCGACAGGATCGTTTTCCGGTATGATAACTTGAAAGCTCAAAGCTGGAAATACAGGTGAATACAAGTTTTCTCCCGTGACAACCAGCGTAACTTGAGCTTCGTCGGATAAAGGCGGTACTCCTCTGTCGGTGGCTTTCACGTTTATCACGTAGCGACTCAAAACTTTAACCGGTATATTAGCGCGAGAAACTGTTAACCAACCGGTCTTTTCGTTTATGTTAAAATAATTAGATCCATTTCCGCCGGATATTGAATAATCTATTTCTGCGTTCATACCGAAATCTTGTTCGTCCGTAGCTTTGACTTGTAATATTTTTTGTTCATAATCTGCACTTTTAGGTAGCGAGCTAAAGTATTGGCTTTTCGTAAATTTCGGCGGATTATTATTTGAATCGATAATATTGACGGTTACCAAACATTCGGACGACATCGGAGGTTTCCCATTATCGGTTGCGAGCACAGTGAGAGTATACTGATTTTCAGGCGAATGTTCTAAAGCTGTGTACTTATAACGAAGCGGACGTTTGGAGAAAATTTCTCCACTTGCAGGATCTATGGTGAATATATCCGATGGATGCTTAAGCGAATATGATATCACAGAATTAGCACCGTGTTTATCTCTGTCGGTCGCTATCACTTGACCGACAAAAATCACGCTCGATTGCGATTCTGGAAAATTAAAGCTATAATCGAAATGTTCGAATTCTGGAGCGTTATCATTTTGATCTTGAATGGTGATCGTGAGTGGAGTCTCAGATCTCCAGGCACCGTCGAAAGCAGCTACTTTCAATAAATATTCGTCTTGAGTTTCTCTATCCAGGGGTCCTGCCACCGTCACGTTGCCAGAGAGCGGATCAAGAGAAAATTTATTTCCTGGATTTTCGGTAAATGAATAAGTTGCGTTTGCATTCTCTCCAATATCCTGATCGGAACTAGTGACACGTATGACAAAAGATCCAATTTCGGCATTTTCCGTCACGTTTACACTAAACAAACGCGTGAATCTGGGCGGATTATCGTTTTTGTCGAGGACGTTCACTAAAACTGTCGCAGTACTCGTTAGCTGGGGATTACCGTGATCAAAAGCTTCCACTGTTAAAGTATAACTGGCTATGGATTCTCGATCTAATTTTACTTCCGTAAAAATGTCACCATTCTTTTCATCTATTGAAAAAGTTCCATCCGAATCGTTTATTAATCTATACGATATTTCACCATTTTGTTCAGAATCTAAATCCGTCGCTTTTATCGTACAAACTTTAAGTGGCGGATATTCTTCTTCGTAAATGTTAGCACTGTAAATTTGCTTTTCAATAACTGGCGGATTGTCGTTGGTGTCCGTTACATTAATGGTAATCTGAAGAACCGTTCTCAGAGCGGAATTATCCACGTAATGAGCTTCAACCCAAACTTCGTATATCGGAGAAGTTTCAAAATCTAATTTTCCACCGATTACGCTAATTTCTCCAGAATCAGAATTAATTTTGATTGCCTCTTTAAGATTTCCACCAGCTATTCCATACCTTATTCGATCGTACGAATCCGATTTCGAAGAAACAGCAGAAAGTTTTGATATGACTTTTCCCGTTTCAATATTTTCAGGAAGTACAAATTTATTTTCTTTTGGAGCTATGATTTTTGGAAACCATTCTTGCGGTTCAAGTTTTACGTTAAGTTTAGCCGAAGCCGTTCGAGGTTCTTCTCCTCCGTCTTCGGCATGTATTTCAATATTATAAACTTTATCTGACCCGTCAATCGATGCAGTAGATAATTTTCCAGCAGCTTTAATCACTCCTGTATCCGGGGCTATGGTGAACTTATCTTTATCCTTTCCGTCTAGGAAATACTTTATTTGACTATTTTTACCGATGTCGTCATCGTGTGCTTTTGCCCCGAAAATAAATTCATCACCGGAAGTATTGTCTGGAACTGACACCGAATATTCCGCACTACTAAATTCGGGTGAATTATCATTATCATCGAGAATAATTATGGTTAAATTAACTGCCGTGGCTTTAGGTTCGGTTATGCTGCAATCTTGTGCCACGTAAGTAAGAAAATAAATCGATGTTTCTTCTCTATCTAAAATCGTAGCTGTTGTTATGACTCCCGTATTTTCCTCCAAATGAAATCTATCCGCTTTGTCTCCGAAGAAACTGTACCTGTAAAAAAAAAAAGTTCGTCGTTTGTTACAAAATAAACATTTTCTGGAACATCTCTTCGGTTGTTATACATATAAATATATTATCTATATAACACATTGAAAAGGATTTAGTTGTGTTCGTTAAATAAACTCGTGATGTCGTCGATCTTTGCCACGAACCAACATAAAAACATGTTTTTTTTTTTTTAAACTCATAACCGAGTACCTTACGTGATTGCACTTGTAGATAATTGCCAGCATTTTTATAATTTAAAAGTTTTTTTTTTTTTTTTTACTACCCCGCAGGAAATTTTCATTTTGAGTTAATCATAAAAAAAAAAAAAAAAAAAAAAAATTCTTACTTTATTTTAGCATTCAATCCATCATCTTGATCTGTTGCCACCGGTTGCGTCACAAAATATCCAATCGGTGAATTTTCCATTATAGAAGCAACGTATGATTGTCTTTCGAAAACGGGACTGTGATCGTTAACATCCTGTACAATAACACGAACCGTTCCTGAACCGCTTAAAGGTGGCGTACCTATCATAAATAAATATTATTTTATTTCAATTTGTTTCGTTACATAATAATTAAAAAAAATTATAATTTATCGAAAAATCCATAGAATAATTAAACAAAAAAAAAAAAAATCTATTCGTTTTATCGCGAATCATTTATATATTGTTTCCCTCCTCCTCCTCTCCCCTATTGTAACCACTATATAAATTAGTATTATTAATCAATGACGTAGAAATAAAAGAAAAAAATTAATAACTAACGGAAAAATACCAATAATAATAATAATAATAATAAGGTATTCGTCTTTTATTTAAACGTGATAATTTTTCAATACGTTGACAATAAAAAATCTGTATTTTAATGGGGGGAAAGGGGGGAGAAGAAAGAAGAGAATGGGCTTCTTCTCCCTCTTCTTCCCCTTTTCCCCTTCCCCTCCCCCCACAAAAAAAAAACAAGAAGCATTACGACGCAGTAATTAATTAAAGAATTAAAAAAAAAAAAAAGAAAAGAAAAATGTCGATTAAAATCTTTTTTTAAAACGGATTCTCTCTTTTTTTTCTTTTTTTTTAAATAAATGCAAATTTAGGTTTCCTCTGGTCTTTTTTTTTTCCTTTTTTTCTTTTCGTCTGTATATTATTATTATTATTAAATTTTTGATTTTTATCATAAACTCCATTAATATTTTTTTTTTTTTTTAAACTTGCCTAAAAAAAAAATTATTCGTCAAAATGTGAAATCTGCCAAAGGCACATTAAAAAAAAATTTTTTTTTTTTTTTTTCTAAAAACAATATAACATGATGTAACTGATTAGGAAAATTTTTAAACGTGAAAAAAAAAAAAAATTATTTTATTAAATTATATACGATTTGATTTTTTTTTTTTTTATCCCTTTTGGCACCTCGCTAAATATATTATTATTATTATTAATAACAATATTTTAAAAAATAAAATAAAAAAGAAAAAAAAAGAAGGAAAAAAATTTGCTAATTGTTGACGACTTGATTTTACCATTTAACGTGGATTTAAAAAAATAATACCTTTTATTATCATCATTATCATTTTGTTTATATATCTATAATAATAATAATAATAATAATAATAATAATCGAGAAAAAAAGGAAAAAAAAATTCGAAAACTCTTTTGATAAAATAAAAAAATAAAAAAAATAATCAGTATAAAATGTAAATAATATGATTTAAGTAAATTATTCATGAGACCGCCTCCTTCTTAATTTCATTGGTCCCCCTCTCCCTGGAAATTATCCAGTCTGTCATGGAACCGTGGAATTCATTTTATAAAAAAATTAACCATTCCCAGAGAATAAATTATTGTTCATTTATACCCTAAGGTTCGGTTTTTTTTCTTTTTTTTTTTTTTAACTTTACTTGATCTCTCTCTCTTCTCTTATTGAAAAAAATATTTCTTTTCTCGAAAAAAAAATTATTATTATTATTATTATTATTTTAAAAAATCGCATGCGTGTATTCCAGATTTTATTTCTGGAAAAAATAAAAAAAAAATTTTCCCCCTTTTTCCCTTAATTTATTTTTATTTCCGGTCGAAAATCCTTTTTTTTTAAACCTTTCCTCTCATTATTATTATTACTATTACTATTATTATTATTATTATTAAAAATTTTCTCTCGCGCATTCAAATATTTCAGGTATAAAAAAAAAAAAAAATCAACAATAATGTTTTATAAATAGTTAATATGAGGCGATGATATGCCTAAACACGAATTTCATCTCTTATGATTTTTTTTCTCTCTCTCTCTCTTTCTATCTCTATCTCTCTCTTTTGGTCGTCGCGTCTTGTTTCCAATGTCAAAGGTCATTTAACAACCGAATAAGGTCTTTGAATATTTTAAATCTAACGTTGAGTTTTTTTTTTTTTTTTTTTTTTTTTTCGTTTAACATTTTAATTATAAAAGAAACTAAACTTTTTTTCTTTTTTTTTTGTTATTTGTTGCGTTTTGATTGTCCGAACGTTTTTTTTTTTTTAAAGAAACAAAAAATTGAATAATAATAATGATGATGATGATGATGATGATGATTTTTTATAAATAGTTTTTTTTTCAACGCGTAAATAATAATCATTTTAAAGAGAGATTTTTTTAAATAAAGTATATTGATTTATTAACGACGATCGACAAGAAGAAGTAAATTCAATTAAATTTTTCCAGTCTCGTCGTCGTGGTGGTGGTGGTGGTGATGGTGACGGTGGTGATAATGAGTAAAATAAATAAAAGAAAAATTTTTTATTTACCTGTGTCCATGGCAACAAGTGTGAGGAGATATTCCGATTGTTTTTCTCTGTCCAGCGGTCTCGAAAGGTACAAATCGCCGGTCGAAGCATTTATTCGAAATAATCCAGCGTCTCCTTCTTTCAGAAAATACCGAACCTGACCGTTATATTGTGGAGAATCAGCATCGGATGCCCGAACTGTTAAAAAATAACCGTCAGGAGATGGAACCGTATTTTCCATGACGTAAGCGTAATAAGGGGAATCTAAAAAAACTGGAGGATTGTCGTTTATATCTCTGACTATGATCGACATGGTTGCCGTGTCGTAACGTATGTTATCATCGTCGTTATTCGAACTGTCTTCTGCTCGAACCGTTAACAAATAACGCGGTTTCCTTTCGAAATTTAAATTTTTTGCCACTCTCACGACGCCCGTGTCTTCCGATATGCTGAAATCTCGATTTTCGTCGCCGGAAAATATGGAATATCGTACCTTACCGTTGAGACCCTCATCGACATCCGTCGCAGAAACCTGAAATTTATCAATATTGTGTAATTTTTTCTTTAGCATGATCTTTTTTACATCTGAGGAGCAAAACACAAAACCGGAAACATACCTGCAGGACGCTCGCACCGATGCTTGCATTTTCAGCAATGCTCGCACTGTAATGTTTCGGATCAAACATGGGACTGTTGTCGTTTTCGTCAACAACATTAACGAATATATTTTGTTTCGTGTATCTCGGAGGATCTCCTTTGTCTTTTGCGACAACTTCCAAACTGTAATTGGCCACAGTTTCACGATCTAATTTTCCGACAACCCTTAAAAGGCCGTCAATCGTACCGACGCTAAACGTTTTCGTCGGATCGTAAAGAGAATATTCCAGGTAGCTGTTTCTACCTTCGTCTTTATCAATGGCTTTTATTGCTAACACGACCGTGTTCAATGGTATGTTTTCAGATACGGATGTTTTAGTCGGAGTTATGAATTCCGGAGACATGTCGTTAACATCTTTCAAAACGATCGTCACCTAAAATTAACATTATTATTATTATTATTATTATTATTATTCAAAAGTAATAAAAATAAAAATTGCTAAATCATTTATTTAATAACTAATTCACTTCGCTTGTATATTAAGTGTTAAAAAGAAAAATTATAATGATTGCTACTACTACTATTATTATTATTATTATTTGAATTGCGTGCGTGCATGTACCTGTACGGTGGATGACAATCTTTGTTGGGGTGGTTCAGCCAAATCCGTACCAGTCACCACCAAATTATAAGCGGATTTAGTTTCTCTATCTAATTCTTTAACCGTGTATATTGTACCATTGTTTGCTATGGCTAAATCTTCGTTTTCATCCCCGGAAATTATTTTATATTCGATGGCACCATTTTGACCTGAAAATAAACCCCCCGAAAAATTTTTTTTTAAAATATTGATTCTCTCCGAATTCAACAACAACGAAAAAAAAAAAAAAAAAAAGAATGAAAAAATAAAATAAAAATGATTTCGACAAATAAAATATTCAAACTGTCCAACTGTCAAACCTTCTTTTATATATTTTTTTTTTTTATACCTGAAATTAAAAATTCTCACTACTCGCACTAACATTTGCGTCGAAAGATTTTTTTCTTTTTAATTATCAAGTTTCTCGGATAATATCCAGCAAAAAAAAAAAAAAAAATTCCTCCATATTTTCTTGTTATTAACAAAACCTAGCATTGCAAAACTCAATATATATATATAAAAATTATTTGTAAATAAAAATCAAAAATCATTAAAAATGGCTGACGAATTAAAAAAAAAAAATTTCCTATATATATATATATTTAAATTAATTTAAAAGTGGTAACGAATTCGAAATAATATAATTAGACTTTGTTTTTAATTAAATAACAATAAGAAACATTTTCATTTTAAAATAAAAGACAGAGAGAAAGAAAGAAAAAAGAATTGAGTTTATTTATTCGGTTGTGTGTGTAAAATAATCATACCTGAATCTAAATCAGTTGCGCTTACGGTAACAACATTTGTACCTATTGTTACATTTTCAAAAACTTCATTATTATAACTCATTGGATCAAATAATGGAGCGTTATCATTTAAATCGATAACGTTAAAATAAACGGTCAAAGTTGATGAAAGACTCGGTTTTCCAGAATCCTGAGCTTGTACGACGAATATGTAGTGCTGAACCTGATTCGAATACAATTTCATTTTTATTTATTTTTAATTATTTACCTATTAACGAGTGAAGATAATAATAATCGAACGAAACGAACCTCTTCGTAATCCAACCTCGTTGTCAATGTAAAAACTCCAGATTGTGAATTAAGGCTAAATACATCGTTTGCCCAATCGGATATGACCTGATAACTGACTTGACCGTTGATACCTTCGTCTTCGTCAGTTGCCATTATTTCTCCCACTCGAGTACCTCGAATTGTATTTTCGGGTACGTCAAAAGAATAAGCATTGTCTGAAAAAACTGGAGGATTATCGTTTGTATCCGTAACCTGGGAAAAAAATATACAAATTAAATATTAATAAAAATCTATTCGTATATCACTTGAAATCGTTGCCATTTTTTTTTATTTTATTTCGAAACAAGTCGTTTTTTAAAAATTATCTGGATAAAGTTTTACAAAAAAAAAAAAAAAAGAGAGAGAGAGAGGCAGAGAGAGAGAGAGAGAGAGAGAGAGAGAGGCAGAGAGAGAGAGAGAGAGAGAGAGACGTTTTCGTGATGGTTTTAATTGCCTAAAGTAAAAACTACAACAAGTATTTTTCGTTTCTTTTTTTTTTTTTTTTAATTTAAAATATTTCAAATTAAGTTTATGTTTGAAACAAAAAAATAAATTTTTTTTTTTTCACATCATTGACTTCATTTTTCTTTTTTTTCTTTTTTTTTTTTGTTTTTCTGTTTCGAAATTATAATATATATTAAAATAAAAGAATGAGGAGGAGGGAGGAGGGGATGAGAAAGGGGAAATCGATCTAAAAAATCATTACAGGGAATCGATGATGGCAATGACGATGATGGCGATGGTGATGATAATAAAAAATACTTGTGATAAATAAATATATTTTGAAATATTCAAGTTTTAAAAACTGATAAACTATGATTTCAGACATAGTAAAACTCAGAACGCTCAGGTACAAAAAAAAAAAAAAAGAAACGAGAGGAATGCTTAAGATTTGAATGCATTTTTACACAACACCCAAGGGGTCGACAGGTTGTTGTTGTTGTTGTTTCATTTCTTTAATGCAAGTTGTGGTCTTCTATAAGAAATACATACCTGAAAGTTATTTTTTAAATATCTCTTTTTAACTCAAATGAATAGAAATGTTGATTGTGGTTAGTTAAATAGAAATGGGGTTCTTTTATGGGTGCTTGTCAGGTACACACACACACACACAGTCACTAAATGAATGCTTTTTTTTTTTTTTTTTTTAAACTTTCCGAGGGATTTTGTTTCAGGTGACGTGAAAGAAAAAAAAAATAAAATAAAAAATAAAATTCTTTGAAATTTGTTTTTTTTTTCTCTTCTCTCTTTCAGATAATAATTTATTTAATATATTTAAAAAAAAAAAAAAATTTTTTTTCTTTCTTTTTCTCTTGTATTCTCTCTCTCTTTGGCGCGCGCGCGCGAGAAAGGGTTTCGATACGAAATAAAAATGGCGGTTAAAAGAACAAAGATTTCAATTAAAAATAAATGTAAATTAATTTATTATATATATTACGCAAAGTTATAATGAATATAAAAAAAAAAGAAAAAAATGGTTACAGCAGACAAAAACGGTTAGTAGTTATAACTTAATTTTCTTTAGACTGTCATATAATTAAACATAAACTATTTTATTAACTGCTAGAATATTCTATACGCCTTCCCCTTTTTTTTATTACTTTTAAATCATTTATAAAACCGAAAGGATTAAAAATATTTTTTTTTTTTTTTGCAATATACGTGTGTGTATGCGTCAAGGTATTCGTATGCACCACAGAAATATTTATACGAAAAGCAGGTACGAATATTTTAATAAAAAAAAAAAAAAAGAAATGGTAAATTTAACGATGTTTAAAATTATCATCATCACCATCACCATCGATATGTGAAAAAAAAAGAAAAAGAAAACGTGAAAAAAAAAAATTCTTATTTATTAAATACCGAATTGAAAATTAAATTATAATTTTTTTCTCACTCTCTCTCTCTCTCTCTCAGTTTTTAATTAAAATAAATTTGTATTTAATAAATGGCGATTATTTAATAAATTTTTAAAAGTGTTAAAAAATAAAATTTTTTTTTTTTTTTTTAATTAACTTACAAAAATTTTAACGATTGCATCAGTGTACTGGATTCCATCATTGGCTCGGACTTGTAATTGATATGAATCTTTAGTTTCTCTGTCTAATGAATCATTTAATTTTAATATTCCACTTGATGATTCTATTTCGAATTTATTTTCACCACCGCCACCGACGAGGTTATATGTTATTTTTCCAATTGTGTCTGGATCCACGGCATTTATCGTGGCAATCACGTGTCCAACGGGTAAATCTTCCGACACGGAATAATTTAATTTTGTATTTTTAAATGATGGCGGACTGTCGTTTTTATCAAGAACGTTAACTCTGACCTATAAATAATAATAATAAAACAATACATTTATTACATTTTTATTTTTTCCAATAAAAAAAATGCCAAAAGACAAATAACACAATAATAATAATAATAATAATAATAATAAAATATTTATAAAGAAAATTAATAAATTATTATTTATTTATTTTTTTTTTTAAATTATGTAATAATAAATCGAAAGTTGATTTTTTTTTTGTTTTTTTTTTTTTTGTTTTGCCTTTCTTTGTTTTTGTAACAACATGAAAATTTGAATAAAATTAACAATAAATAAATAATTTTTTTTTTTGTTAAGAAAAAAAAACGACCAAATTATTTATATTGAAGTTTATTTAAACAAATAATAATCCGAACAAAAAAAAAAAAAATTTAAGGGCAACCAGAGCTTTAAGCTTTAAAAACTTGATTTTATAACAATAATGAAAAATTAGTTTTTATTTTAAAAAAAAAAAAACGTTACAAAATATCCACCCACGCATGCACGCATTCACGCACACGCATTCAGGAAAATAAATTTTGTAAAGCAACAATAATAATAATAATAATAATAATAATAATAATAATAAAATAAATTATAAAAAAAAATTAATATGAGAAAACGAAATCAATGAATTTTTTTTTTTTTTTTTTTTCATTTTGTAATAATTATAACAACAAAAAATCTTGTTGTTGTTGTTTGTTTGTTTGTTTGTTGGTGATTTTTTAAAAAGCGTATTTTTTATACATAACAAACTTTAAAGAAAAAAAATTTTTTTTCTGTGCTTTTATGCGTACATCACGAAGAGAAAAACAAAAAGAGAATGAAATCCAACATCAATGGACCGAGGGAGGGAAAGGGGAGATAGAGAGAAGAGGGCCCCCACTTGACCGACCCTATCTGGTCCCTCCTTTAAATATCCCTGCGCTTTCCTAGTCCTCTTATTTCTCCTTTCGGCAACAACGGGTATTACTTTGCATTTTTATATATATAAAACCCTATTCAACGATCAACTTTATATCAAAAATAACTTTTCAAAACATCAGAGAGTTCTCCTCACTCTATAAGATTTTGAATAATAATTTTGAATCAACAAGTGTGTGTGTTTGTTCGGGTTCCTCGAAAAATTATCATTATCATTATTATTATTATTATTATTATTATTATTATTATTATTATTAATTTTTTTTTTTGACTTTTGTTTGCTTTCAACTTAAAAACCGTTCCTGTAACATTCCTACGCATAATTTTTTCTTTTTCTTTTTTCGATTCGAATTTTTTTTGTTACTTTTTCAGGGGGAAGGGGGGGGAAACACATGAGCTTGAATCTACTGACGAAAAAAAAAAATTTACAATAATGGCGTACATTTTGTAAAGAAAATAAAAAAATAAAATTTTAATTAAAATTTAAATATTTTGGAACCTTTTTTTTTTTTTTGTTTTTTTGTTCTTTTTCGCAACAATATATAATAATAAATGACCTCAAGTAAAATACCTGATTTTGTTGATAACGGTAAAATGGCAACAAAATGGCGAAAAAAAAATAAAAAATTTCATATCAAACATGTTGTTTTTTAACGGTTTTTTTTCAAGCTTTTTTTTTTTTTTTTGAGAAAACAAACAAACGAACTATCAAAAGCTTTTAATACCTTAAAAGTATTATTTATTCCTAACATAATTATTATTATTATTATTATGTATATAAATAAATAAATAAAGAAATAAATTAATTAAAAATTATTTAAAAAAAAAAAAAAAAAAAGTTAACCACAGGTAATTTTTTTTACTTGTTGTTTATTCGTGTAAAAATTAATAACTTAAAAAATTTTTGTTGTTTGTTGTTTGTTGTTGTTGTTGTTAGTTAGTTAATTCTCGAATGTTTCCACGCAAATAACTTTTAAAAAAATTTTTTTTTTTAAATTTATTTTTATTTTTTGACATGAAATAAAAATTTTTTTCAAGTCAACTCTAATAAAAAAACCTAACGAAAGAAAAAAAAAATTATTTATTTATTTAATAATTATTTAATTTTTAATTTGATATTATTATTATATATGTTTAGCATTCGTCAAAAAAAAAAAACAAATTAACATAAATTATTCATTCTAAATTGGAATAATAATAATAATTAAATAGAACGTTGTGATGATAAAAAATAATATCGATACACATTATTAATATCCTCCGTTTACTAATAAAATTAAATTGTTTTTTTTTTTATAAACAAAAAACGGGGAGGGGGGAGGAGGAGGGGGGACTCAAGTTAAAAAAAAAAATTGTTTAAATTAAAAAAGTTGAACGGTCATAAACGTGTGTACGCAAAAAAAAAAAAAAAAAAAAAAATTTAAGGATTATTATTATTATTTATTGACGTTTTCAATGAGCGCGAATAGTTTAAAAGGGCAAAATTATAAAATACGTCAGAGTTTTCATATTATTATTATTATTATTAAGAGTAGAATTCATTGATATTAATGATAACCTTTAGAGAATCGATAAAGAATGAATCCCCGAAATCAAACAAATCCCCGAAAAGATTTCAAACGAACAAAATTTTAAAAAGATCCCTCGGTTGTGATTTTTTTATATTTTTAAAAATTTTCGCGGACACAATCCTAAGTCAAACTTGAATTTTTTTTTTTTTTTCGTTTTATTATTTTTATTACGTTTCCCTTACGACTGGCATATAAATTATTATATAAAAAAAGAGGAAAGAGAGAGAGAGAGAGAGACACCCGCCAAGAGAGGATACCAATGGATCGGTCGTTCAATAAATCGACAAAAAAAGGCAAAAAAAAAAAAAAAACCATCTCCGAAAAAAAAAAAATACCAAACTGATGATGAGGGAACCTGAGAGAGAGAGATACCACCTGCTGCCAGAAACCCCAGGAGCCCGAAAATATCCAGACAACATCACTAAATTTTAGGGTCATTTTAAAAAATTTTCCTCGCATTTAAATTCTTATTTTAAATATTAATAATAATAATAATAATAATTTTTAAAAAAAGTATTTAATTAATTTCTTTTTTTTTTTTTTTTGTAATATAATAAAATTTTTTTTTTTTTCTTAATCCGATATAATTTTTATATTTATTTTTGATAAAAATTCATTTATCACGTTAACAACAACAACAACAAGGAAGGGTTGATAGCAGACGATTTTTTTTTTTTAACCACGGGATTAAGTACCTAAGCCTAAAAACTAAAAAAAAAAAAAAACGGGGACCAGGTATGTTGGGACCTGTAATTTCGTTGTAACATAATTGAAGGTTTTAATATCATCATATCTCTCTCTCTCTCTCTCTTTACCTTTAGTACTACTACTACTACCACTACTACTACTAATCTCTTCTTCTTTTCATCTTTTTCATTTTAAAAAATAAAGAAAATCTTTTACCATTGAGAATTAATAGCCTTTTAAGCAATTAAGCTCTTTTTGCTAGCTTCCAATCAAACTTGATTTTTTTTTTTTTTTTTTTTGGTTTTTTATTATTAACTGCTTCTGGTTTTTTTTCTTCTTCTATCCTTTCTTTATCATTATCATTATCATTATCATTATTATTACGTAACGTTTAAATTAAATACCTTGTTTTTTTTTTCATTTTTTTTTTGTTTATTTTTAAATTAAATTAAAAATTTTAAAATGGATTCATCTCACTCTCTCCCTCCCCTCTTTCTCTCTCTCTCTCTCTATGCCACATTATTTGTTTTAAATAATAATAATAATAATAATTTAATAGTTTGTAAAAAATTATTATCATTTTTTATAATAATCAACATTTTATGTACGTTTAAAAAAATTTTTTTTTTTTTATTTAATTAATAAAATATTTTCGCTTCTTTTTTTTTTTTTTTTTTGGTTAAACGACGAACCTGATATTCTCCATAAAAAAAAAAAAAACAAAATATACCTGAAAATTATTATAGTAAATTTTAAAAGAAAAAATACCAAAAAAAAAAAAAAAATTTGAAACTAATAAATTTTATTAATTTCATCAAAAGCCTTTTTTTTTTTTTGAAAGGTTGAAAAATAACAAGAAGACGAAGAAGAAGAAGAATTTTTTTGAAATTTATTTATTTATTTTTTTTTTTCACTTTTAAAAAAAAAGGTATGCCAGGTTTTTTTTTTTTAAGTTCAATTTAGTTAGAAGAGACCCCTGACTGAGAGAACTCCAGAGCTGGACATGGCCCAAAGCATGATCGGCCATCAACATAAATCATGAATCAGATGAACCGAACAGAGAGTCTGCATTACCTCGTTCTTGCGTTACAAGAAATATTAAATTTTGTTTTAAGGTGTGTTTATGTCCTTTTCTATCTCTCTCTCTCTCTCTCTCTCTCTCTCTCTCTCTCTCTCTCTCTCTCTCTCTCTCTCTTTCCTTCCTTTGATTCTCGAACAGAAAATTTACTTATAATTTTCATAAAATAAATCAATATAATGTAATAAATACAATTCTAACAAATTTCCAATACCAATTAATAATTTTTTTTTTACTCTCTTACTGTTGTTGGCATAAAACTAAAAGGAAGAAGAAGAAGAAGAAGAAAAGAAAATGACAGGAAAAATCATTTTGCAAACGATTTTTAAATATAATTATACGTTCATTTACTTGAAAATTAATCATAAACATTTACCAAAAGAGTTTGTTACGTGGTAAGAAAAAAAAATTTTTTTTTTTTGTTTTATTGTAGCGAAAGAAAGAAAGAACTCGTTCTAACCTGTTTCTTTTTTTTTTTTTTTTTTTTTTTTTTGTATGAATCAATCCCCGACCCTTTTTTTTTTTTTTTTTTAAATATAACTTAAGGGTAAATTTTAAATTTTTATTTAACCTTTTAAAAAAGCTTTTTCGTTAAATTCTTTTTCCCTTTCCCCCCCCCCCCCCCCCCCCGTTTTTTTTCCTTTGCATAAAAGTGAAAATCAACATTCGTATATTTTAATTAGCATGAAAAAAAAAAAAACACAAATTATTTAATTTCTTTAACCAAAAAAAGTAAAAAGAAAAAAATTTTTTTTTCTCTG